GTAGTAGTAGTAGTAGTAGTAGTAGTAGTAGTAGTAGTAGTAGTAGTAGTAGTAGTAGTAGTAGTAGTAGCTTGCTGTCGCGTCAGGAAGTCATCAGCCAGCTCCGAACGCATGAACGGATGAAGAAGCGCCAGTACGGAGAGCGGGTGACAGCAGTTGACAGAGGTACGTTTACACCGCTAGTTTTTTCTACCTCGGGCATGATTGGCAGAGAATGTTCAATGGCACTGAAGACACTGGCATGCCTGATTGCTGAGAAGAACGTCGACCTACACGTATCGGTTATCATGGGTCAGCTCCGTTGTAAGCTGTCAGTCTGCCTTATGCGATGGGCAGTCACCTGTTTGCGTGGTTCAAGATCGTCATACCGCCGCAACAGGATGAATTTCACGACGATGTGCAGGTTGCGGGCAGCCTGAGCGTGATAGTACCTGACAGACATTTGCCCAACATTGCCCCATGATAATGAATTCTTGAGTTTTTGGACATTGTATTGCATTGCTGCTCCATCTACATGGCTGTATTTGTGTTTCACATCTCCATTTCAAGTTTCCTAATAAAGATTGTGTCAAGTAGTAGTAGTAGTAGTAGTAGTAGTAGTAGTAGTAGTAGTAGTAGTAGTAGTAGTAGTAGTAGTAGTAGAATTTATTATTTTGATAGGGAAGGCCCTACAGACGTTGCCGTCTTGTTACAGGGAACCCTAAGTGCTCTTTAGGCCACCCTTTGTTAATTCATTGTTTAACGTCCTTTTTTTCGCGAAAAGGTACGCGGGAGGGCGGAAAAAAAACAAAAGCCCATTCCAAAAACTGGAAACCCCAATCAAACATTTTGACCAGTAAAGCATGTGATATATACAATATTTCTGGGTCTAACGGCACTTGCAGGCATAGAACAACACTCTTTGATGGTACATTGGAGCACATGCCTGATGAATCCAACAAAACAGGTACATAGCATGGAGTTAGCATGTCATGAATTCATTACATCTGGATTTTTACTAGGGCACACACCGTACGATATTTAAAAGCCAACAAAAAAAGAAAAAGAACACAAGACAAAGGCATGCCCGGGAGGCAAGATTATAAGTTTAATTAAGGTCATGATCGGCACACTGTGAAACTACACAATCATGTATTTACAACTTCGCATATTATTGGTACTACTACTTTCTTGTTTTTTTTTCCGGTCGGAGGCAAAAAGGTACGCGGGCGCGGACGTTAAACAACGAAAAAAGAAAGGGTGGCCTTACAGAGCGGAACAAAAACGGAACTGTAATCAATGTACGGAGCAGTTTGGGGCGATTTATATTCGCGAATGTGTGGTGGTCGCGAAAAGAGCGAAATTTAATCTCTTGCGAAAGTTTCTCACTTTACACAGGCAGGCTGCAGGGTCACTACATGCTAGCTACATGTACATGTACATGTAGCGGGCGTTTAGGCTGTCATCACACCATGGTACAAAGCGCTGCGTCTACGTCCACGTTATAACGCGTTAGGAGTTTTTGGTCGGTTGTCATGATGATCCGTATACGGGGTGAAAACGGGAGCAGAGGAAACGGGAGACGTAGACGTGGTATGGAGAGGGGGGGTATACGACTTTTTGTATGAACGTGCGTATCTCCCCCAGCCTTTTTCCGAGGGACCCTGTACTTCGATGTACGTGGGTTCAAATTTCTCCAAAAACGTGACTGCGTGTACGCGTCAAGAACTGCAGTCCATCCTCAAGCGTTCCATCGAGACTTACACTGATTTTTGCGATCTTTTTCTTGAGAACGATTCTCACCCTGAAATGACTTTCGGCGACTGACGTGAAAGAACACTCATGACACCCACCTCGTCGAATGGAGCATGCATTGTTTGTGGTGTATGGGTGCAGGAAGGTGGTATGTTCGCGAGGTGCATATCGAAAATGATCCGAAAGACTTTGTGATGGTGCCATTCGGCGGAGAACATTTGAATTTTTCGTACGATTCAGAGCAGTCGGCGAAAACGAGCCAGTAACCTGAAAGGAGGGCGTGAACAGGTGTAATTTTCGACAATGTGGGTGCCCTCGACCCTGCTCTCGGACATTCGAGTAATGGTTATGGCAAAATCGATGGTGCTCCAGGTTTTTCAGACGCATTTCTTGACAATACTCAATTCCGTAGATAAACCTGTGCACAGAAAGCACACAAGAGTTCAAACTAACTCCACTGTATTCAGTTCACGTGTTTTCCACAGATCCAAAACCCTCCTGGGACCAGGAAAGTGGACAATACGCTGGAGTATAGACGTGCACACTGCGAACACGCCCACGCGCCACTCTTGCACACCCGTGTCGGACATCACATACTGGCCATGTCACGGTGCCGCAGACGTAATGGGCGTGCCCCACACGCTTGCGTTACACACGTTTAGATCCTACATGCACACGTGGAGCACAAACATGTCAAACATGCGTGCCGCGGATGCACACACATTGTTCGTACATGCCGGATACACTTCGCATACATCACATGTGTGTGCGCACGTGCCACACCGTCGGAGGAATACAAACGAGCACGGATACGCACACATGAGAGTACCTCACCAACAAAGCCTAGCCAGGTTCGCACTCGGTTTCCCTATCAACAATAATTTCTGGCTAGAACAGTGCAGTAGCAATAGCCGAAACAGATAGAATGCAACACGGGTGGCCGAGCAAGTGACATACAGCATAAACAAGACAAACGTACTTTGTACATTCACACACAGTCAACTTCTCTAATAACCACTGCGTATATAACGACAATTCGCAAATACGACAGAATTTCCATGCCCAGAGCAAAGTGACACACAGCATAAACAAGACAAACGTACGTTGTACATTCACACACTTTTAAAAGTTTGTATACATGTATGTGATTGTATTGATATACTTTGGTTTTCTTTCCTCAAACTCAGAGTCAAAGGAGAAGTGACGCGTGCATCATAGACCGTTGAAGTTCGTGTGAATGCATCAGACGCACACATGTACAGGACACTTTGCATTTTTCAAACTGAAACCGTATACATAAGCATGCGTGCATGCGTGTGTGTGTGTGTGTGTTTGTTTGTGTGCGGGGGGGGGGGGGGTACGTGTACGTGTGAAGAGCAAAAACCAGTACTGATAAATTGATAATGCAGGCCAAGCAGAGAGGAACGCAAAGCAGACAATCACCTTTACATTGTAATCTCTTACAAATAACACATACATATACATGTAGCTTCATAAGCAGAAAACGAGATATTGTGAGCGCGACAGACTCACACACACACACACACACACACGCGCGCGCACACACGAGCGCACACACAACCCCCCCCCCCCCCACAGACTTGGGTCCGGCGGATTCTGCCGGCAGAAAATTGGCAGAATTCGGTACTTTTTCTGGTAAGTTTCATGCATGTTTGGTATGTGGATAAAGAAATGGAGCAGAATTCGAGGAATTGCCCGCCATAAGGTTTGTATGGTTCTGCCAATTTCACTGCTTTTCGAGCAGAATCTGCCACCTTTTCGAGCAGAATCCACCGGTTCCTACCACGGACACACACCACGAGACCATAAATCTGAAACGGCATGCATTTTGACACACACACGCACACATGCACACACACACACACACACACACACACAGTCACACACACAACACACACACACACACACACACCACGAGACCATACATCTGAAACGGCATGCGTTTCGACAGGCTTTAGAAGGCCACGAGTTAGGTGATCCACATCAAGGCAATACACACCACCAGCCCAGCTACATGTACCGATATCTCATACTAGACAGCAACTGAACGCGGCACACATACTACACACAAGAGCGCGTACAGCGGCAACTTTCTCCTTATGCTTACGGTTGTCGAATACAGCATTGACGACACACAGAGGAACACAAACTAGGGTCTACAATGTACATGTATACACAGCTATGCGTTTGCGTGTTTTCATGCTCCCTTCAAAGGTTTATGTATACGGCATGTATGATTTATGTTGCTTGAGTACGCCCACTTTGAAGGTCGAAGTTGGATTATACAGGGCGTGAACAGGTGAGATTTTTATGTCTAGCTGTTAATTACCCTTACCTTAGCCCACCAAGGAAATCGGAATAATCAAACTCGATGGTGCTCCAACTTCATTTCGACGTAGAAAATTCGCTGTTTGAACATCTCAATTTCAAAGGGTAACCACTGATTTCGATGTGAAAAACGTTTCCTGATCGCCATAAAAAAATTCCTGCCGACACACACCATAACAAGCTCCAAGTTCACAAACAGTGGCCACAAACGGTTGCTCGTCATGAAGGTGGTTCGACACTTTCGACCAAATTCGTTCACTTCCGTATTCAGTTGACAATTATTTTTTGCCGTCATCAAGACTTATTTGGGCCCAAAAGCGCAAAAATCAGTGTAAGTCTCGATTAGTGGCAGAGATATGTTTTTTGCACGCTTGAGGATGGACTGCTGTGCCTGTCTGATGACACGACCACCCGTTTTGGTTTTTTCACCATAGACGTAGACGTAACCGGGAGTCGGAGAACGTGGTGTGATGACGGCCTAACACCGGCACAAGAGTACATGAAAACCGGGGGGGGTTCATGTACTCTTGGCCGGCGCGGTAGAGTACGACTCCCTGGACCCTGGTGTACATCTACGACAGTACGAGGAATGCAGACCGCGTACCGCATTGTTGTACGCTGTACCTGTGTTGTACAGTCGTAGATCTACAGCCTAGTACAGGTCTCGTGATCGTGGGGCCGGGCGGTTCTCTTGGTAGAACAGGACTCAGCAGCGATGTCGCCTGACTACAGAAAACGCATGCGCGCGTGTGGACTGTGCACATAATTGACATAGGCTAGCCCCCACAATGTCCACATAAGTACCTGCATACCGCCGCACACTGATCCTGAGTGTCTGACGCTGCATGCATATGACGTAGGGTGTGGGTAGGGTACATCATGTACATGACTGTACTACAAAAGTGTTGTGAAGATGTGGAAGACGATCACACTCACACTGCTCAGTCACACGAAGGCAGGAGTTTTCGACGTGCCGAAACACTTCCAACACCACTGACCGTCTTACTCCATTTCGTTTGATGTGCAAGCTTGCATTCCAACCTAACACCCAAGTATTAGTTCTTCAGTAGTTGTGTTACGATCACTGGAGAAGTTTAGTTTTGAAGGTCACAGAGAAGCAGCTTTATTTTGTTCCCATACGTACGAGAAGCGCCAGTCTGCTCTGTGGGAGTTGGTCAAGTTTCCTGTAGAAGTCTTGCTGGCGCTGAGTGATAGATGAGTCCTGACGTCTTGTTGATTTTATACCCATCACTGGAAACTGAAGATGTCGATGTCAATGGCTGTGCGGCGATCGCTTGGCCGTGTTTTAGATAGGATAGAAGGAGCTGCGGCCCAGAGAATTGAGGTAAACTTGTTGTGCTCGTCTGCATGGCACATTTCTTGTCCCCGCGTTCATGCAAGTAGTTTGAACGACACTGTCGTGGCTGTGTCTATGTGACTTAGCTTTCTTGCCCCAGGTCGCCCTGTAATAATGGTCTACTATGGCTTTCTTTAGCTGGGTGATCCTGATTTTTCTTTTTCACTTTCGCGCTGTTCATGCTTCTACTGCATTAGGCTGGTGGCTCGGTGCCTCGTCTTGTAGCTGTGTCAAAGAAAAAGAGTGTTGACCATATCGTGGCGGCTTACAACTACGGCCAGCGTCATCTCGGGGAGAACTATGTGAGTAGCACCCCGGCCCAGCTTTAGTTTGGTGGTAGATACCTTTTACTTGTTTTTCTGTAATTTTTGATCTACCGTATGACTATTGAGTATTGAATTTGTAGACTGCTAATCAGTTTTTGTGACCACTGAAATGGTGCACGCTCGCTGCATGATCCGAGCAGCAGTACTGTTGTGCCGTAAGAAAAAAAAAGAAAAGTGAATAACTAAGCACGAGGGAAGCCGTGCTGCCGCGGTGTGAGATCCTAGTCCTTCGTGCCTTTTGTCCAACCAGTGAAGAAAGCAGCATTGCTCGTTGCTGGGTAGTTGTCGTACTCGGTGTCGTGCTCGTCTGGTGTGTTACTGTACTGGTCGTTGGTGTCAGTCTGTTGTTGAAAGGGGATTTTTTTGAGTTTTCTACCAACAGTCCACCATGCCACAGGCACAGGTTCAACTCACTCGTAACTAATACTTAGTACAAGTGGGTGGGCCTGTCATTCCTACACAAAGGCTACTACAGAAGCTAAGTGCTTATCAGGTGATGGCATGAGCCAAGAGTACACTCATGACTCACAGCTCCTGGCTCAGGCCCATGTCTTTTGAGTTGAGTTGTCTGCATGCAACATTCCTGATGACTGTCCAGAGAAATCCAACCTCATGAATGAAAATAGTGCAGGGCACTGTGCAGCCCTGCCACTACGCACACTGTTCTGTGCACTCAGAATATGTGTAGTAGTGGTGCTCCTATTGATGGGGTTGGATTTCTCTGGCAAGAACCCTACTGTGCGTGCAGCAAAGTCCAGTTGCCCATAAAAAAAGTAAAGCTTGCACGTGTTTGTTGTCACCTGCCAGTTGGCCTTGGTGATGAAAAGTTATAAAACTTACTGTTGCTAGTGTATGTTGATTGTACATTCCTCAGGATTGGGGGGGGGGGGGGGGCACGCATGGTTGCTCATCACTTGTACTAACTTCTTAGGTGTACTCTACTCTAAACTACTTTCTGTTCTGGACATTGCTGAAGTCTGCCAAGAGGGGACAGACCTTTGCATGTCCAGTGGCATCAAGCCAAGTGTTCCATTCTTTTGATCTTTCTTTTGTTGTTGATTGTGCATGGTGGGTGGGGGTGTTGGGTAATGCCAGGCTCCACTCCCAGTCACAAGTCCTGGAGGAGTTCAATGTCCAGTAGAGTGGTGACGGTTGTTTGCCTGCAAGGGTTCTCATTAACATTGTAGTGATGCCTACTTACTTTGCAAAGCTTGTCAGTTAAGGTTAGGAGTGGGGTGTGGTGGGAAGAAGCAAGTCCAAGCCTACTGCCTTCATAGGCTGTCGAAGTCTGATGTCAATGCTTCTTGACAACGCGTAGTTACTTCCTTGGGCAAGTGGTGACAAACAAAAGTCGGCTTCACCTGGGCTTGTCGTGTTTCCAGTGGCAGCATGCAGCAGCAGTGAACACAGCATCACTTTGACTGGGGAGCGCACGAGCAAGAATATTTATTTCAATTCGTCGCTGAGTTTGTAGTTTTCGCTTTGTACTTGTAGAGAAGGAGAAGCTGCAGCTGATTTTTGCTTAGCTACCAAGACATAATCCCAATCTATGATCATGTTCTCTTGACGCTACCAAGAGTGTGCAACTCCAGCTATGGGGTCTGCGGCGGCAGAACTTCACATCACGTGTTGAACCCGTACACATTATTTGCACTATGTGCATGATAGATATAGGGCTGTACCAAGAGTACGTAACCCCCAAAGTGTGCAACGCCTGATCCAGCTCTGCATAGGGTCTTGGTCGAGCGTAATCGGATCTTTACGTCATAATACCGTACACATCTGAGGGGAATCCGGGGAGTTGCGGGTACTCTCGGAACAAAAACAACGGTGCCCTGCCTCGAGACCGGCCTTGCGCTGGTGTGGAGTGTACGCATGACATCAGAAGATCCGATTACGCTCGACCAAGACCCTATGCAGAGCTGGATCAGGTGTTGCACACTCTGGGGGGTTATGTCTTCTTGGTTGTACGCAACCCAGCTTTGGATTCAACTCTCATGGTCACTTTGCACTGTTTTCCAGCATACATGTAGTCTTTGAAGTTCTGCTGTCGCAGCACTGCATAGAGGTTGTACCGGCAGTCACACACTCTTGGGGGGTTATGTACACTTGATGGTATCGAGAGTACAGGTGGAATCCTGATAATTCGAACCTCTAAATGCCAGCAAAAAAACTTCTAATTATCCGGACATTCTAATGGCACGTATTCATCTAAAATGGCGGACGCCCACGCTGCATACATGGTATGGGCGCACGTGAGCCACGCTGTGGGGACACTTGTTCGATTCCGCATACAAATGTATACAAATGCGTGGGAAAGAAGTTTCTCTAATCGCTGGAACTTGTGAGTTTCTTTCGATATAGACTACTGGTCTTCAAGGTATACAATAGTAGTGACCCAACGAAGTGGAATTTGTGGAATATAACGTTCGAGACGGCTCAACAAGTCAAGAGTAAAGTGCGAATTTACTATGTACGCAAGTGAGAAAACCTACTTGTTTCCCGCAGCGCTAGTCACGTGCGCCTTCAGTGAATACGTGCCATTATCCAAACATGAACCCACAACACAATATGTATGTCAAAATGCTCCCATGTTCACGCAGAGTTGCGCTATGGACCTTAGATACAGATTTCACGGATACTGAACTGACCAGCACAGCCTGCTCATGCAAACTGAACTGACCAGTACAGTGTACAGTGAACTTCGAATTACACTTTGCTAACTTCGAATTATCAGCACAAATCCCACACATTTTCTGTGTAAGTGGAGTCCGTGGAACTTCAAATTAACCGGACATGTCCGGTTCGAGGTTCGAATTATCAGAACATTTTATGTGGGAATCGTATTGACAGAAATCGGTCCTGGGAAAACTTCTAATTAAGCGGTATATTCGAATTATCAGGATTCCACCTGTATATACTATATACTCCTAATATGGGATTGTGTTCTCTTGGTACAACCAAGAGTACATACACTCTACATGACATTGTAATCCTAACATGGGATTGTTTTGATCTACCAGGAGTGCATAATCCCAATATGGGATTGTGTTCAAATGGGCACTTCAGCATTTTACAGGGGAAGTGAGAGTTGTTCAGACAAGACACATGATCCATTAGTACATATATGGCATGGCCAGGGCTTCCTGAATGAAGTGAACGCGGCCTCCACCCCTTGTGAGGTGTTGTTCTCCTTGTACTAGTATACTTGTATACTCAGTTGCTCTTGTTCTTTGCTTGGTATTTTATTCAAAATACTAGCCAGTGGCAGTTAGCGCACTGTATCTGATTCCGTGTGCGTGTAATTCGTGCTAGCCAAAGTACATAAGGACGATCCAGGTGTATACCATGGCTAAGCATAGTACACAAACCCTGGCTTCTGTGTGATTGTGAGTAATGCATGATTGCAGGTGCATGGATTTGGCTGTGCTCAACCTCGTGTGTACGTTGGTTGTCGGGTACCCAAACCCGACGCATCAGTGGCAGACCCCTTTAGCTTATTGTAGGGTACCCGCTTGACCACTAGCCTTGGTACTACTCAAATTTCCTACATCTATGCACTCACTCACATAGCACCGCTAGCTATGGGCAGGTTGGCCAGTGGGGTCTGCATGTTTGTAGGACGGTACTACGGCACGTCGTGTATGTACATGTACCTCTTAATACACGTTGTGCATGTCCACGCATTCTTTTGAAAATTTGCTTTCGCAAATATTATTTCAAGGCCCAGGGTTCAAATTGTGCGTTTGGGCAAATCGTGGACCGAGCAAAAATGTTCGGTTTGTGAGCTGGCCAGTACTGTATATTGCTCTGAATGCTGTATTGAATGCTTTTTTTTTATTCTGCTCTAGGTCCCTGAACTGGTGGAGAAAGCACGTGATCCACGGGTAAGAAGACAATGACATTGAGTGAGAGTATGCAGTCTACCGTACCATTGTGTAAATCATTGTTACTGTGTGTGTGTATGTGGCTGTGTGCTGGAGTGCACTAGAAGCAAAGGCCTTCCCCTCCCTCCCCCCCCCCCCCCCCCCTAGACTAAGGGCGAAGAGAGTCTGAATCAGGGACAGGGGGTATGATTCTGACTTTTCGTATGGTCGCCCGACCAAGGCCCTACCAACCGATGTTTGCTTGTAGTCAGGAGCACTGACTGTTCATCGCCCTTACACGACGGTGTCATCCACCTTGATATGCTGTCATCGTCATACTCAATAAACTGACAAGCAAGGCTCATATGTACAGTACTGTCGGTTGCCGAAGAACAAGCAGGCTAGGATTTCACCAAGTACAGCATACCAATGTATACACGGCGACTCAACTGTCCATAGGCTGTGGTACATGGAAATAAGAACGGCCCAGGCTACGGGGCTGACCTCCCCCCCCCCCCCCCCCAGTTCTTCGGTACCCAACAGTACTGTACCTGTAAACACATGCTTATGTTTAGGATGGCTGTTGTTGAACTTGTTAGTCATGCCCGCATTGCTGGATTTTGTATGGTGGCTGTTGTTCAGATCCTTTCTGGTGCCCCAGACGTCCGGTGGCATTATATTGGCTCGCTACGCCGCCAGCAATGCAAACTTATCGCTGGTGAGTTTCTATGTCCCTGCTACTGTGGACCTCCCTGCTGGTTTGTGTGCACTCTGGCTTGAATGCTTGCTCACAGTTTTCTATCATCTTGGGGGGGGGGGGGGGGTGAGGGTTGTCTTCGAATTGTTAGGCAGCTAATGAATTATACCTGGTCTTTTGTGTGCCAGATTGCCAGTACCATTCCTGACCGCTTCGGTAGATTGCGAAGGCAAAGATGGTTGCTTTTGAAAGCGGGTGGTGAGAGGGCAGGGGATTAGTTCGTACTTGAGTTGAGATGTAGTTTTTGGTTTCCTAAGGTCCTAAAAAGAAAATCGATGGTTTCTGTTCACTTGGGGTGGGAGAGGGGCGGGGGGTTATGCTGTATGTGGAATCCTCATTGGTGATAACATACATCTACATGTATGTGCATTGAAAAGTGCATGACTGTCGATTCGTGGGTGCTAGTTAGGTAAAACCATATCGCAGGGAGGAGTAGGCGTGCCTGTGTCCTATACACACTTCATCATAAAGTTACATGTACATATGGCATGATATTTTGTGAAATTATTGTCCACACATCGTGATAAAAGAAATTTGGATTTCATTGTGACAAACTGCATTCTGAAAGCCAGGCACTGTGGATCCAGAAATAACATTATTTGTAGGCAAACTGTACTGTGAGCCTCCGGAACCACTCGCATACACAACGTATTCTACAATGCTGGCAACTGAAATCCGACCCCTGAGCGGTGCTGCGCTCACATCGCGAAGACCCAACACGGAAAACTACGAAATGGAGACCGCTAGGATGTGAATGCTCAGGGGTCGGATTTCAGTTGCCACCACTGTAGAAAAAGGACGTGTCCCACCACTAACGCTACGAGTGACACTTGTAATTTCACATGCTCTCTTTAATGTCATACGGCAAGCGGGCGCACGCAAAGTATACGGAATTCTAATGCAAAGAAAAATCCGGATTTATTGACACCTTGCGGGTTGGCTATAATTATGCTCTTGGCTATAATAATCTGAATCTGAAAATAGAAACAAATAAAAAAATGGGTGCTAGTCATTGTGGTTGAAATGACATCAAAATTTTGGAAGGAAATAGTGATAAGAAGCAAAAATGAAACACCATGATGGTATCGATTTTCGTCTTGTCGCTCAGAAAATACATCCATAATCATACACATTAAAGTTAATGTGATCTGTCTCTACTGAGCTGCTAAGAAATAAGGGGGGGGGGGGGGGGGGGCGTATGTCCTTACAAGTAGAACGACCTTTGACGCAGCTCTCGGGATGCTTCTTTCAGGTGAGAAAAGTGCGACCGAGGGACTACACAAAGCTTGTGGGTTTGCTTGTGCTGTTGCCGATGGGTATGGCTAGAGGCTGTAGTAGCCCAAGTGATACGCTATGCACAACTGTTTGTAAATGTATGTGCAGTTCATGGCATTAGTAGGTGCCCCTAACCCCAGTAAATATGCGGCTGGGCCTTGAACATCTACCACGGCGATATCCATTGTGACTTTTTCAGGAGAACTTCCTTATAGTAGGCAAGGGGTGGGGTTGGGAGACTTTTACTTGGAATTGCAAACTCAAAAAGTCACAAAATTGAAAAGTTCCACTTCATGAAAAAGGGGGTCTGATCTAATTCTATGAATCTCTAGGGTTTCAGGGTTGAACTGAAAGAAGCAGCAGATTTCAATGTGAAATCTGCTGCTCGGGTAGATTTAACTGTTTGCATTATTGTCTCCTTGCGCAGGCAACTTGCTTACCGTTCAAGTTTAAACTTGGCACTGGTTATGTGTGTGTTGACGCCCTGTCGCATTCGGTTAGCACTTTTAGAGTGTGAATGAGCTCTCTGCTGCACTACCCACCCACTGCATGGCTTGAATTATCCCTTGTGCAAACAAAGTGTTGAATTCTGTTGTGGCATTCATTCAGCCATCGATTCACTCCCCTATTAGCTTGCGAATTCTTGCATATCTAGCCTATGACAGCTTGTGCAGGCACTTGACATATTGGGGAAGGATTGCGGGTGGGGGAATGCGTGATTTTCTTGATCATGTTTGCTAATTTTGAAACGATTGATTTCCTGATGTAATGAACTTGGTAAATTTCGACATGATCCACAAGATTGTGAACTTGCACGCATGCACGTCCACACGCACGAGCACACACACACGAACATGTACAGACACACTTCTTGAACAAGTTGAAGTAGCGCCTACTGGCACCCAGTCAGATATGCACGCAGCACTAGCATCACAGGATAGAATAGGTAGACATGCATGCCTTTCTTGTTTGTTGCATTGTGTTGCTTTGCTGCCTCTCTTTGCACTGCAGCCATCTAGGATACATTGTGACTTTGTGAGGGCAATTGGCGGCTTGGCTTCTTGCTAAGGTGTCTCGTGATACTCTTTTTCTGTATTTAAGTCTATGTGGGATGGTGATAGGGGAGGGGGGCTTTTGTACTCATATCAGCATTCACAAAATAAAAGCAGTATTTTTTTAATTGAAAAACGGAAAGAAAGCAAGGGGAGCTGTTTGCTAGCAAAAGATATTGCATGCCTGCACGAGTTTGGGTTCGGGATGTGAACCGCTTTCTTGTATTACAGTGCTCAGCATATTATTAGGATGTTTTCCGTTGCTGGGCAGGGGCAGGGGGGGGGGGGGGGACTTGCTCAATGGGCAGTGAACTCCATACTAGCTTTCATAAATGCTGTGTCCCACCTATACCCGGGCAGACACTCAGCGCATTTAAATGTACTTGGGCACGGGGGGGGGGGGGGGGGGGGATGGAAATTTTGCTCACAGGCAACTGCTCTTGTGTAGTGGGGTGTCTTGAAAAGTTCCAGAAATCGAGCGAGAACTCTATATGATTTGCTTTGGCTAAATGCAAGCTGCTCTCATCCCTGCCTTGAATCATTACACCATTGCTCGTCCACTGTGGCAGCACACACATTCGATCACACATTCGATCATTCATCGTATCAAGCCCGAATTTCGGGTCTAGACTTGATCGCCATGCTTTCAAGCTGGCAAATCCCAGGCACAAGTAAACATGGTACAGTACAGTGTTACCATTTCACCGGCTTCTGTTCCAATTATCTAAAGCATTCGGAACTCGCGTGCTCTGAATCAAGAAAAGTCCAGCGATTTTTTTGTTTACCGCTATTTTTGGCCTGGCCCTCGGGGGGGGGGGGGGGGCATAAATTCGTAGTGGCAGGGGCACTGCAGAGCGTGGATAACACACTCGGAGTCTGAAATTTCATAGGCTCGCAGTATTACTACTATAACGCGCGCATGCCTGTCAACGTCCGTCACTCTACACACTTGACGGGGGCATACCGACAAGATCCTATATTTTGGATATGCCCTCTCTCTCTCTCTCTTGCTTGCTCCCCCACACACGTGCGTGCATATTTTTGCCACCTCACTGGAAAACCTAAAATTTAAAAAAGGAAAAAAAGGAAAGAGAAATGCAGTCCGACTCTCTGTGTGTTTAGCAACCATTTGTATTTTCTGTCTGTTGTACACCTGTTTGTTCCTGGAAAAGTACTGTGTGAGTACTGATTTATCCTAGCTTTCAACACCATATATGTTCCGAAAGAGAAGGGGGGGGGTTGGGGATTCTAAACTGGAGCGACGTTATACTAGCTTGTACGGTGTGTTCTCATTCTACGACATTCGGCCGTGTAAATTATAGAAACTGTGATTAGTGCAGATGCATGCACATCTCAAACTTCAATCGTATTAGAATGCCTTTGTATAGTTTGAATTCTTTATTCTCACGATGGCACCATCGCCAATAAGAGATTGTTGTACGTGGGGTTGCATACTTCTTTCGGGCTGTGCGTCGTGTGTTTATCTGCCCGTGCATAGAAGAGTGTTTGGCTAGGCTTCCGCATAACTTTTCACATTGAAAATGAACCACCCGATATCCCCGACTCGACTAAGATCTGCGGACGTGTGTATGTGTGTGATGCCATCGTGGTGACTTTTTATTCATTTCTGTTACTTCATTTGTGCTAACGAGTGGTGTGTGTGTGTGTGTGTGCTTCTTGTTTCGTGCTCCTGCTGCTGGTGATCATCCAGCATTGCCTAATCTGTGGATGGTTGAGACGGTGGCGGCCAATGATGTCTCTAAGGCACTGAATGTGGCGTGGAAAAACCAGCGCCACAGCGAAGAGCGAGACCTGCGTGTCATGGTGCAGGTCAACACCAGTAGTGAACCAAGTAAGCTTCGTATTCTCACTTTAACGTTAGATGGAGTTGTATTGCTGCTGCTGTTGTTGCACTCGCTGCCATTCAGGCAAATGCAATGTAGTTGAATGTAGCGCACCAGGTTTCTCTTTGTCATTGTTCTGTATCGTGCCTGGGGTTGTTGTGCCCCTGCTTCACTGTACTCTCAACTGGTCTGTCGGCGTGTTCGTCCACTCCAGGTTACTTGACATGCTCTATTCCTGCGTGTGTGCGTGTCTGTGTATTGCTGCCTGTGCTGTGTGTGCTGTAGACAAAAGCGGCTGCGAGATAGATGATTGTGTTGCCATTGTCGAGCACATTCTGAAGAACTGCGACCACTTGGTCTTTTCTGGTCTCATGACGATCGGAGCAGTCAAAAACAGCCTGCGGTGTCAAGAGGACCCCACCTTCAACAATCCTGACTTTGAGGTTAGTTCAGCTGCTGCTCAATTTCTCTTCAGTTTTTGGTAATTGTTCTGGAGTGACGCTCCGCTTCCAGCACAACGATTACCTCACCACGCCCAGACAACAGCGAGGGTCGCCCATGAGGTGCCTTGACAGCCCTGAGGACCGTTGGCAATTCATAACAGTGTTGCCTCCAAACCATCCTGTTGCAAGGCCGCGCTGGGACAGCAGTACGAGATTTGCTTGTTACGTTTGTTTAGACCATTCTCAAACGTGTAGCCGTACGTTTCATGACTTAGATTCCGTTGTGTGTTGTGCTACTGTTACTGGTACCTGTGCAGGTCTTGCAAGAGTTAAAAGAGAAGGTGTGTGCAGCACACTCTCTCGGTAAAGATGAGGTCGGTCTCAGCATGGGCATGACAGCCGACATGGAGAATGCCGTAAGTCCCGGTCTGTGCGATGCTGCAGCCTAGCTTTCTTTTATCGCCGCTGCCAATGGACCTTTGTGTGATTGACGCAGAACAGCTGTCTGTGGCTGTTGCTGCTCACTCAGATACGTTTGTGTATGAAAAGAAAGAAATCTGTGTGCATGATGTATTGACGACGGTAGTTAGTACTCCTTTTGTTTTGCTTTCATTGTTCTTTTTCCTCCTTCTTTTTCTCAGTTTTCCCCACCATGGCTGGTTAAAATCGCCCGCATCACATGTTTATGGGCACTATGTCATCGTGATTGTGGAATAATAATGATGATGATGATGGCTGCTGCAGCTAGGTTTCTTCTCGTTCATGCATGCGTTCACTGTCCACGCACTCCTCATCCGTGGCCATGCATGCCCCGAGTTTAATGTTGTGTTCTTTTCTCGACGTGTGTGCTCCATTAGATCCGCAATGGCAGCACGAATATCCGAGTAGGCACTGCCATATTTGGTTCCAGAGAGGACAGTGTGTATGCCAGTGAGTCCGAGCCACAGTCTGGTGACTCTACAGTACCTGGACCTGCATTTCCACTGCTTTTCTCTTCATAATCGAAAACAAAATGAGAAAAAAACTTATTTTTTTTTGCGTTCTACCATTTTGCAAAACCTGATATACATAAAATTTAAAAAAAAACACTCATATGAAGCTCGCTTCCATTATTTAGCTCCTACAAACCAAGTCAAGTTTTCCGCTGTCCTTTTCTGAATGTACTCGACCTCGTTGTTTGTTGAGTCTGTATGTTGAGTCATGAAACCATGCATCCTCCTGATATCTTATCTCACCGCATATAAATCAACACCATGCTAGTCACGTAGCCTTCGTCTGAGCACCAGTTTTAGCTAGTCTTGCTATTCCGAGTAATAGCACTCGGCCTTCTTGTTCAGTTCTGTTTTTTTTATCTGCTCCCATTCGGGCATTTTATCCGTGTGATCATCCATGACCACCTGGTTGGGCATTTTATCCGCGTGATCCATGACCACCTGGTTGGCTTTGTCGTGGCGGACACTCGCCTGGCATTTTCTCCGTTTATCCGTTTATAACAGCATCTAATCTTTAGTCTCGTGTGCACCTGCTGCTTCCGACACTGCGCGCAATGCGTGTGATTATTTATACCTCAGAATCTTTTGATGTGAGCATCTTGTGCCGGTTCACTGCTCAGCAGGCAGGCTCTGGTAGCGTACTTGTTCGCTTAGCGTCTCGTCAATTTTTATTCATAGCATAATATCCCCTCGTATGGTTAGCCTCTTCAATAATTTTATCATACCTTTTTTTCGCTGTTCTTACTCAGTGGTCAGCAGGGCTGCACTTTCCAAGTCTCACTCTTAGTTTGCCTTTGTTGTTGGTGGGTGCTGCTGTGCGAGTGCGGCGGTGCAAGTATGTATTTCAAACTTGATACCAGTCATGCTGGTCGATGCATTGTATGAAGAGTAAATGAGCGTATATACTCTTGATTGTACTTCCAGTGTTGGCCTATCATGACGTTTGGCAGCGAAAGAGTCCAAGGATGTATGCAAAGGGGAGCAGTAATTGTTTTGGACTTGTTACTGTAAAAGCCGAATGAGTGACAATTGTTCCTTTCGTGCGCGTAAACCAGTCCATTTTGGGAAATCGTTACGCCGATATGCGCCTCGTTAAGCGGGATTCACAGAAGATTTTTTGCGATGCGACAGGCGCGAAACCGGGAAAACCCCAAATCGCAGCCTTGTCGCACCCCACGCAACTCGGCCATCGCAGAAGTTGAGCTTGGCTCAACTTTTGCGATGCGATGCGACAAGCGATTTGGCGTACGATTTTGACCTTTTCTACAGCAAAGTTGTACAAAGGTTCAAGAGTTGCCTATAAATTTGTTCAAGTTGTATCAAACCGCGCGAATATCATGGTGACGTAGCCAAATCAGCAAGATTTTGTCGCATCACTGACTTCTTCTGTGAATGGTATTTCGCGAGTTCGCATCGCACGCGTCCGTCGCAGATCGCGTTTCGCATCGCAAAAAAGCTTCTGTGAACCCCGCTTTAGAATAATGGATTTTACAGTACGTTTATTAGGCAGGCATAGTGGGATGGTCTATTAAAGACCATGATTGAGAAACAGAGGGTACCAGGTTCAAGTCCTGCTTGGAAGCGGAAGGATTTTTTTCCAGCCGTGCTGCGACCCACAGTTAATTGGGGGCACGAGGGAAACATGGATGCAGTGAATGGGATTTCGGTCTTTGACCACTTTGTGGTGGGTCTGATCTACTCACCTCCCACCGCTTACCGCGAACTACGACTAAAAGCCACGTGTTCATCACGAGTGTACGCATTTACCTTTTCGCATACGCACATACATTCATCACTCAAGATCGCGGCCCCTTTAACGCTTCATTTTGCTTGACATGTGCAAAATAACTCCGAATTCTTCGAGACCCGTTCTTGAGTAATCCCAGTTTCTTCGACTTCTCTTTTCTTCTTCTTCTAGAAGCTAGAGAACGCACCCTAAGTATTGGGTATCAGTACCTGTACATGTACTGGTGTTGCCGGCATATCTGGGCGTATACATGGGCATGGGCGCTATTTTGAAACAAAAATGTTGACTTCCCCTGACTGGGCGTGTACACGGAGGGTGGGCGTAATTTCGAGTGGGCGTATACAGGGAGGGGCTTTTAGGGTAGGATTCCAAGCCGGTGGAAGGCTGTCGGAGTGCGCTTCCAAGACATGCTTGAGCTGATTGGCAGTTGAGTTAGCAACAGACTAATTATAGTTTTAAAACTACCAGTTAAGAGCTGATTGGCAGTTGAGTAACAGATTATTATTATTGTAGAAAGGAAAAGGAAATATAGATACGAGTTGAGAGTAAGGCTGTGTTTACATGAGAAATTTCAACCCGGGTCGAGTTCAGCCCGGGTTGAAAGTCTGTACGACAAACAAAAGAGGTGAGCGTTTACATGAAGACAGTTGACCCGGGTCAAATACTGATATGCCGCCAAAAGTCCACTTCTAGAGTCCTGCATGGTCACGTGAATCCGTTCGCGCGAAATTTGCATCTGCAGTGCCGTTCAAACCTGGCGCGAGATACGCACAGAAGTACGTTTGTACGATTTTCTTGACCCGGGTTGGTTTCAACCCTCCCCTTGGGGGGAGGGTTGAAATCAACCCGGGGCGAAATTTCAACCCGGGTCAAGCGCAATGCGTCATGTAAACGCGCCATTCACTTTGTGCACATGGCGGGTTGAAATCTGACCCGGGTCGAACTCAACCCGGGTTGAAACGCCTCATGTAAACACAGCCTAACTCTCCATCACTGTAACCAGATACTATATACAGTCAGAAAGTGCAACAACTACACAACTACACAACTACAGTACTCTGTCGTAGTTGTGTAGTTGTTGCACTTTCTGACTGTATAGTATCTGGTTACAGTGATGGAGAGTTACTCTCAACTCGTATCTATATTTCCTTTTCCTTTCTACATTTATTATTGGCTCAACGTCCGAGTTTCAGACTAATTATTATTAAAATTAATTATAATTTTTAAAACTACCAGTTTAAAATTATTATTACAGGGTGCGACAGAGCTCTCGGCCATTGAAGAAAATGTTGAGTCACCTCCACCATTACACTGCGCTCTTTAGCCGACTAGACCCTCCTTCACACAACCATCACCACTGCGAGGACACTTCCGTAGACGATGTTGATAATTCCTCCAGACAGCTGTTTCGCTAATACATACTTCGAAGTAGCTCATCAGTGAAGGTCGATGTTGAATGATTAAAAATATAGAGTGGTGATGGTTATGTGAAGGAGGGTCTAGTCGGCTAAAGAGCGCAGTGTAATGGTGGAGGTGACTCAACAGTTTAAAAAATACTTGATAATCAGCTCGTGCGATAATCCGGCATTGCTCGTATATATAGTCATCATCATCCTGACTACAAGTTACGCAATAATGACCACGAAGTCTAACATTATAAATAAAAGGGGGTTTGTCAACTGACAACCGCTCTATTTACATGTAGTTGCTATTCACTCTTTAGATGAAAATTAACGATGTTGAAAAATTATTGACGTTTCGGGCCCGTCACCCATCGTCAGAATAATGTACAAGGAGCGAACCTGGCCTTTTTTTTAAGGAAAACAAGCGACAGCGTATGTACCTGTATGTCCATGTACAAAACAAACGAAACACACAATAGCCGTATGCAATTGACTCGAATTGAGTGTCTGAATTTGCATGTACGAGGTGAATTGCTAATTCTGGACATTGTACATTTCTGGATATTTCGAGTAAAATAATTTTTCGTCGCGTGTAGAGTCAGTTAGGTTGATGAAGTTTTTTCTTGTTGTAGTTGGCAGCTGGGCTGTTGTAGTTTCTCCTCGTGTCGGTGCCTTGTTGATAGCCTTTTTTTGGGAGGCATTTCAACGAGTTTTGTGGGACTATGTCGCATGAGAATTTTGAATTTTGAGTAAAATAAAAAGTAATGGACGAATCGTTGGCTTCCCCATGTGCACTCCACTTCAGACGCTGTACAGTCTTGGACCTGTTGGCTGGAAGTGTGAAGAGGCCAACTGCAGTCCACCAATAGAAAAAATAACAAAAATGGTGCAGTATAGGATGCCTATTGACGCTATTTTACTTCCATGTCCAGAATTCCATACACTGAAATTTAGGCCAAAAAATTGGCCGGTCGAAAACATGCTGCTATAAAGTCTCTGGGATCACAGCATGAGCAATTGTCACATATTTGGAAAGATGAAGGAGGATTAGGCCATACAATAGATACAAAAGGATATGAAAAATGTAAAACACACAGCCAGTGGGCCTCTATTTTATTTTCATGTCCAGAAATTGCTATTCACCTCGTACAACCGACAAGGAGAAGTGCGCTGAAAGACCGGGCATGCAACAGCTCAGCAGATAAAGCGCAGGAAATGTGTGTACGAAGGTGTATACCACGATCATTGTGTGTACAACCCTGTGCAGACTGCACTGGTAGTAACAGTGCACTGGTGAATGGTGAATGGGGGTGCAAAAATGCCACTATCCAGGAGAAGCGAGTATCAGGGCCAGAAATATGTACCGTGTATACGCCCGTCGCAAGAGAAGCACGCAAATATGCAAATGCACTGGATGTGCACCCACAGATTTTCTCTTATAGCAACGATAGCGAACAAGATCTAAATGAGACAGATCAAGACTTGTGCCAGATAACTGTCTAGTCCACACAACGGGCAAAGCCATGTGAATCGACCACCAATGCACACCTGGTCTACACCACACGGAGTACATCGGCATATGTACAAGGTTACAGTCTGTAAAGCCTCATTTAAAATAAAGGTATTACTTTACAGGAGGTTGTTTATCCCTGAACCAAGACCTGCTCAGCAGCGGCAAGCCGGGCCTCTCGAGCCGAAGCCATCTGGACGACCTAAGACAGTTTGCTGCGGATCGCAATGGATGGCGGCAGATAATCTGAAGGAGTGGCCACAACTGCCGGGTATTGACATACACATATTGGACAGAGCTAGAGAACAGTCAGGTCCCACGAAGAAGGAATACACCGGTATGTCGGCGCCACCATTCAAGTCGCACCATGCCAACCACATGACAACAACAAGACACGAAAAGTACTCTAGCAGCACTGAATTCTCGAACTACATCTGGAAACTGAAGAAATCCAACACCCCGTACGAAATTGAATGGAGGATAAAAGATCGTGCCCGAGCATACTCCAACATCACAAAGCGGTGTTCCCTCTGTACCAGAGAAAAGTTCCACATCCTGAACACGCTAGGGTCACCATCTAGCCTCAACAAACGCTTGGAAATGGTGTCCAAGTGCCGACTCAAGAACAAGTATCTCCTAAAATACCACGGTGTCACCTAAATATGTCTCCACAGCCTCCTGCCCACACCATTCACGTTCACACACCGGTCCTTGCTCATAACACCCTGCCCACACCAGCCATATACATGTAGAGGCGACGGTTCGATACCGGAACGGCTTGACAGTCAAATTTGTATAGACCCAAACCGATCATCAGCGTTGATTTTTCACTCGAAATATGTTTGTGGAAGGAAACTGGCATGTTGAAGTTTGCTCTGGGGCCAGAGTCAATCGAACTGAGCCACTCCTTTGTGTTGACCCATTGCCTCCAAGTTGCCCAATTTTTCGCTTCAAATCAGAGGTGGCTCCAAACCGGACACGTTTTAGAGTGCACGTCAAATTCACTCTGGGTCTGAAATTAGGTACAGTCAACTTCGCTAATAACGACTGCGGATATAACGACAATTCGCGAATAACGACAGCATTTCCATGCCCCGAGCAAAGTCTATTATAATTATGTAC